CTTGCATCGCATCAAACTCAAAGTCATTTACTACCAAACTTACCTTCAGTTCATGGTTTTTTCTTCCGCCGCGTCCCGATTTGCGAGCGGGAGTTGAAGTCTTCTTTTGATTTCTGTTCGATTTTGAAGCAATTGTTCTGATTTCTGAGAATCGACGAGAAACGAAAGGATTTCGCCGGATTTCTGAAAAACCAGTTTTGAACGGGAGAGAGAGAAGCAGTTTTGAAATTTGTCTCGAAACCGACTAAGTTAGGTGTCGACTCAGGAAGATTAACTGTCCTTCCTTCCTGTTGCGCCACGTGTTGTTTTCATTAAGGTCAATTATGTCTTTTGCTCATTTTGTTTTTTTTTTTTAAAACTAGGGTTTTGGAGGGTATGTCATGAAGTCTATGTAGCAAAGTAAGGGTATTTCTGTTATATTGCCTAAATAATCGCACATATGTTACAAAGACAAAACAAAAACTGCAATGATAACTTCTATTGTAAAGCCAATTCTTCAACTTCCACAACCGCTTCCACTTTATTTATTTTCTTTCTTCTTTTTTTTTTAGACTTGAACCGATGAAAAAACCTAGAAGTAACTTTGCACCCTCATCGTTATTTGATTTAACCATTGGACCTATACTCATCTTTTTGTCTGTTCTAAATGGAAAAGGAAATTTGCTCACTCCTTGTGTAAAACTTTCAGACATGATTGGTGTTTAAATGTTTAGCTGATCTACCAGTTTGGTTAGTGATTCTAAGTTTTTTTAGCCATGGCAATCGCCGACAGTGGAAATGATATGAAATTCTTTTTTCTTTTTGCAATATAAAATAATCCAAAATCATGGTTTTGTTGTGTTATATATATATATATATATATGACGAGGTTTTCATATAGTTTTGATATTAGACAATCACATTGAAGTTTTGGAAATTTTCGGTTGTGTTATCAAAATAAGAAAAGTGAAAAAGACACCTTTTAAACCCTGACCAAATTAAACCAAACCAAACTATCAATAATTAAATATTCATTCTAATATATAACAACTCCTCCAAAATTATCCAATATTCGATAGTTAAAATGGTGTATGTAGAAAGATTAACTTCTCCACAATATTCTGATCCGAGCTGGAATGCGAGGGAAGTTATTTATTCTCAAAAGTTTGTTTCGCGGTTGTAACATTCATTCCTTACACTCTCTCTTCATATTCTCTCTCCTTTCTGTTTTCTTTCTGTTACATAACAAATTCTTTTGTATATATGGAGGAGTACAGACGATAGTGAATAACATTCAGAAATTTCAAATTCTGCTCTCAACTCTTTTCTATTTTTCTCCAGAAACAGAGCATCGATTTGCGTTTATAAAATGGTATAAGAGCCTTTGTGCTAAGATCCCAGTTTCTTCCTTGATTTCTCCTCTTTTCGAGTGTTTTGTTTCTCCCATTTTCTCGCTTTTCATTTTTTGCGTGATTATGGCGTTTCCACCAACTCCAATGGCTCCGACTGGTGATTCTTCTTCTCCAGCATCCTCCATTGCTCCGGTCTCTGCTCCGACCGCATCTTCTTTCGATTGTTTCGACAATCCTTGTCTTCAACTCGTTAATAAACAGCTCACTGGTGCTGGCGATTGCCCTCGAAGGACGAAACAAACTCTGTTTCGTTGATGGTTCGTTGCCACGCCCTGATGATGATGATCCCACTCTGCGTTTTTGGAAACGCAACAATGCCATCGTTGGCTCTTGGCTCATCAATTCTGTGGCCGAAGATATTTCTCAGAATCTGATGTTTTATCCTACTGCTCGTGAGATGTGGCTCGATCTTGCTCATCGTTTTCAGCAGTCGAACACCCCTCGCAAATATCGGGTCCGACAACGGCTTCGCAGTCTCCGTCAAGGCCCCCTTGATGTTGCTAAATACTATACTGCTCTTTCGACGGTCTGGGAGGAAATGAAGACTGTTCGTGTTTATCATCGATGCACCTGTGGGCGCTGCACCTGTCATGTTGATCAACGTTGGATCGATGAATTTGAAGGTGACTTTGTTATCGATTTTCTTTATGGGTTGAACGATGAATTTGAAGGTGTTAGGAATCAAATTACCATGATGGATCCTATGCCCGATATTCAGCGTGTTTATAACCTGGTGATTCAGCAAGAGCAACAACGTTTGGTGAAATCTTCTATTCCCCTTGATGCTGCTGTTTTTCAAACTTCTGTCTCCTCCTGATGCGAAAGTTGCGGCTATTTCTGGGCAATCTTTCAAATCCAGGCATCGTCTCTTATGTACCCATTGTGGGTTATATGGGCATACTATTCAGAAATGCTACAAACTCCATGGCTACCCTCCCGGTTATAAGCCTTCTTCTCAGTCGAAGTCACATGCTAATTCCAAATCTCTGGGTCGCGTTGCTGCTCCAGCATCTGGGAATTATGCCAATCTGGTTAAGGAGACTAATTCTGGTTCTTCTCCTATTTCTCCTGAGTTGGGTAACTTTTCTATTGTTCAGTTGCAGGAGTTATGTTCCCGACTTAATTCTCAAATGAAGACGTCAGGCCCTTCGATCACTGAGTCTGGTGCTCCAGATGTTGCTGCTTCTTCTGGTACATCTCTTGATGTATCTTCTTTTGTTTGCTCCTCTGTGTCTGGTGGTATGACACACGTTGCATCCTCTTCTTGGATTGTCGACTCTGGTGCTTTTACCCATGTCTGTTATGACAAGAGGCTTTCCTGGGACCTTGCTCCAATTTCTCCTCGGTCTGTGACCTTGCCAAACGGACAACATCTTTTGGTTCATTTTATGGGTTCAGTTTCCCTCAGTGATCATCTTATTCTTCACGACGTTTTTTATCTCCCCGAGTTTTCTTTCAACATTTGCGATACAAATCTCATTGTTTCTTTTTCTTCTGATTTTTGCTTTATTCAGGAGTCTATTCAGGGCTCGACGATTGGGAAGGCTAAGCTTAAGCACAGCCTCTACTTTCTCGAGTCTGGTTCCCCTTCTTCACACTCATCGTCTTCTTTTCTGGTTCAAGCTTTCCATGCTGATTCTACACTTTGGCATAGCCGGCTTGGGCACCCCTCTTTTCAGAAACTTAAAACTTTGTTTCCTCTTCTTTCTATTAAGAAATTGTCAGACATTTCCCATTGTCAGACTTGTCATTTTGCTAAGCAACGTCGATTACCCTTTGTTTCTCACAATCGTCTTTCTCCTTGTTCTTTTGATCTCATCCATGTTGATACTTGGGGACCTTTTTCTTCTGTTTCATACGATGGTTTTCAATATTTCCTCACTATCGTAGATGATCATTCACGGGTAACTTGGATTTATATGATGAAATCTAAAAATGATGTTGTCCGGCTTATTCCTGAGTTTATAGCGATGATTGAGACACAGTTTGCAAGCCCATTAAAGCCGCTCGTTCGGATAACGCACATGAGTTGAGATTCTCAGATTTTTTTCGCTCCAAGGGAATTGTACATTACTTCTCGTGTGTTCAAACTCCCGAGCAAAATTCGGTCGTCGAAAGGAAACATCAGCATCTCCTAAATGTGGCCAGAGCTCTGTTGTTTCAGGCACAGTTACCCCTCTCGTTTTGGTCCGACTGCGTTCGCACGGCGGTATACCTCATTAACAGGACTCCTTCTCCTGTTTTATTGAATAAATCGCCTTTTGAGGTTTTGCAGGATCACATTCCTGATTACGCACATCTACGGGCTTTTGGGTGTTTAGCCTATGCTTCGTCTTCTCCAACAGCCAGGCACAAATTCTCTTCTCGAGCTCGGGCATCTGTGTTCTTGGGCTATCCTCCGGGATACAAGGGGTATAAGCTTCTAGACTTGGACACCAACCCTGTCTTTATTTCTCGACATGTGATTTTTCATTAACATATTTTTCCCTTTTCCCTTAGTACAGATCCCTCTTCTTCCTTTTCTTCTTCTTCTTTTTTTTTTCTGACTCTATTCTACCACTCTCTTTGCCCCCTCGTGATAATCCTTCTTTTCCTTCTGGGTCTCCTTCATCTTCCAGGCCCAGTTCTCTTTCTATTTTGCCTAATCCAGCATCTGCTGGGTCTTCTTCTTCTTCTGGCCCCATTGTTCCTTCCCATGTTATTCCTCCTCCACGGAATGACATTTCCACTCGACCACATCGACAGATTAACCCTCCCAATTATCTCAAGGATTATCACTGCTTTACATTGCCTTCTGTTTCCGCCCCTCTTTATCCTCTATCCTCTGTTCTTTCTTATCATCGTTTGTCCCCTCCCTACCGAGATTTTGTCCTCAACACCAACATTGTTTCTGAACTCAAGTCTTTTAAAGATGCTATATCCTCTGTTGAATGGAGGGAGGCCATGAACACTGAGCTCGCCGCTCTTGATAGTAATGGCACCTGGTCTGTTGTCTCACTTCCTCCCGGTAAGAAGACAGTTGGTTGCAAGTGGGTCTATAAGGTCAAGCGTAATTCAGATGGTTCGGTTGATAGGTTCAAGGCTTGGTTGGTTGCTAAGGGTTATACGCAACAGGAGGGGGTTGATTTCCTCGACACCTTCTCTCCCGTCGCTAAACTTGTAACTGTGAAATTGCTTCTTGTTGTTGTTGCAACTCAACAGTGGAGTTTAACTCAAATGGATATGACCAATGCCTTTCTTCACGGGGAGCTCGATGAGGAGATTTACATGACGTTACCACCTGGATTCACACCTAATCCTGGGGAACAGTTGCCACCAAATCCTGTCTGTAAGTTGCAGAGGTCTCTATATGGTCTTCGCCAGGCTTCTCGTCAATGGTACTTGACCTTTGCCAAGGTTTTGCTCGCAAATGGGTTTGTTCAATCACCGTCTGATCATACCTTATTTGTTAAGAAATCTGGGAATTCAATTGTTGTCCTATTAGTTTATGTGGACGACATCGTTATAGCCAGTAACGACGAGTCAGCAGTCCTACATTTGAAGCTTTTGCTGAAATAGAGGTTCAATATTAAAGATCTTGGGGAGCTGCGATATTTTCTGGGCTTGGAGATGGCTCGGTCCAAGCTTGAAATCTCGATCAGTCAACGCAAATACTGCCTTGACTTAATCTATGATTCTGGTTTCCTGGCTTGTAAACCTGTTTCCACTCCGCTCGATCCTGCGATTCGGCTATCCAAGAATTCTGGCGATCCTCTCTCTGATATTACTGGTTATAGACGACTCATTGGTCGGTTATTATACCTGACAATTACCAGACCCGACATCGCCTATGTTGTTCACAAACTCAGCCAGTATTTGTCCTGCCCTACTTCGGCTCATCTTTCTGCTGCTCAGCGTGTTGTCAGATATTTGAAGAGTAATCCTGGGCAAGGTGTGTTCTATTCTGTCACCTCTTCATTGTGTCTCAATGCGTTTGCGGATGCCGACTGGGCTTCTTGTCTAGATTCGCGTCGATCTGTTTCGGGATTCTGTGTTTTTCTTGGCGATTCTCTGATTTCATGGAAGGCCAAGAAACAGACAACTGTTTCACGCAGTAGCACAGAGGCAGAATATCGATCATTGGCAAACGCCACTTGTGAACTGGTGTGGTTGCGTAATCTCTTACAGGATCTGTTCATCTCTGTTATCGGGCCTGCAAAGCTTTTCTGTGATAATAGGTCGGCTATTCACATTGCGACGAACCCAGTTTTTCACGAACGTACTAAACATATCGAAATTGATTGTCATGTCATTCGTGATAAACTGAAGTCTGGTTTTCTCATTTTGATGCATGTTCATGACGAAAACCAGCTGGCCGGTATTTTTACAAAAGCTTCGCAACCTTCTCTGTTCATGAGCTTGCTTTCTCGGATGAATATTTCAAGTCTGTTTCTCCCGTCTCAGCCTTGAGGAGGGGTATTACGGATTATATTCTGATCCGAGCTGGAATGCGAGGGAAGTTATTTATTCTCAAAAGTTTGTTTCGCGGTTGTAATATTCATTCCTTGCACTCCCTCTTCATATTCTCTCCTTTCTGTTATCTTTCTGTTACATAACAAATTCTTTTGTATATATGGAGTACAGACGATAGTGAATAACATTCAGAAATTTCAAATCCTGCTCTCGACTCTTTTCTATTTTTCTCTAGAAAAAGAGCATCGATTTGCGTTTGTAAAAGTAAACTAGGTCTTGACAAAACCTTCGATATCTGATCCTAGTTCCCATTCTGAAATATTTGCATTTGATACATTTAAATCAAACAATATTTTAGATTTTCCAACGTCTGGTAATATTAATTTTAAAATCTAAATTGCATGCTTCATAAGTGGGGGATATTTTCTCATTCGAATAAATGGTGATGGAAAAAAATTGCCAAAATAATAAATAAATTTTTGGCAATAAGTAATTTTGCTGATGCCGTCGAACTAAATTTAGATTTAATATAAGCAAATCAGGGTGGGGGCCAAAGAAGTGGAGTTAATTGCCGTATAGAGAACGAGATTTGCCCTAGATTACGCCCCCCGCGGCGTTAGAACAAGGCCCGACCAAGTGGAAAGTCAGTGGTTGTTCGTGGTTTCTTCTTCTCTCTGTGTAACACTTTTTTGGGGTTTTTGATTTGGATTTTTGCAGGGGAATTGGAACTAAAATGGGGAAAATCTCTTCATCTTCTTCGAAGAGAAAGAAACGTTCTACAGATTCGTCTCAGGTATTGCCTTTTTCTCCTGTTGAATTCGATGAACGAGAAAGAAAAATCCAAACTTTTCTCTTTTTTCTCCTTCTAGTTTCGGTCTGAATCAGTATTCGAATCAACCGGCAGATTTCGTGTTCTGGGTTTGTATTGTACTATGCGTTCCTTGTTGAGAAATCGGAATTCCGGAAAAAGGGTTTCGATTTATGGATGTTATATTATGTTGTGGCAGAGGAAGAAGAGAAAGGGAACCAAATCGAAGAAGATTCCTCTCCGTGATGACGATTCAGATTACAGCGAATCCAGCGGTACGGAATCTTCTTCGTGTTCTAGTTCTGAAGATGATTATAGGGGACGGAAGCATCTTCGGTCTAAAGGGAGGAGGAAGAGGTCGAGAAGGAGGGATTCTAGTAGCGAGAGGGACAATCGCTTGAAGAAGAAGAAGAAGAAGACGCAAAGGTCTGAAAGGAGAAGAAGAAAGAGACGTGGGAGAGATGTGAGTGTGAGTTCTTCCGCAAGTAGTGAGTCTTCTTTCTCTGAGAGCGATGGCGGTAGAAAGAGAAGAAGGTCAGAGAGAATGGATAAGGTTAAGTCCAAGCGCAGGAAAAGTAATGATGATTCTAGGAGGAGTTGTTCTTCTTCGTCGTCTGGCCATCAGGACGATGAATTCGATGACAACCAGCAAGTGAGGGATGAAGTTACCAGCGGGCAGGGTTCTAGAAGGCTGAGATCGGTTATTGTTGTAGCAACTTCTCCCGACGATGACGAGAGAAAAGAGTTGGAACGTTATGAGGTATCTCTGGAAAATACGACCATGGAGGTGGAAAAAGATGGTGAAGCTATGATTTCTAGTCCTGGAGCTGGTGCTGGTGAGGGAGGAAGTAAAAATGCTGGCTATGATGAGTTTGGAGAAGATGGTGAGATGGAAACTAGTCAAGGTACCGATCCAGACAATAAGTTGAAAGGTGATGATTTGGAAACCATTTTAAGGATGCGGGCATTGGAAAATCTAAGAAGATTTCGTGGGGGGACCTATACAAATGGTGTTTCCGGCAAAGAGACCTCGTCTCCTGCCGAAGGAGAGCATCTTCTCTGTACCGAATCTGCCAAAGTCGAAGAGTCAAAAGGCCATAGTCCTGTGGAGCAGAAACCCGGTATCTCTGCTGGAAACAGAGATTTCGAGAGTTCCGGTAAGACTTTTCAACAGGCTGCTTATCAAAAGGAATCTGAATCTGTCTCGAATGATCTTACTTATCCACAAGATCAATCGGGTGGTACTGCCAAGGGGGAAGTTGGTTTCGGTCTTAGCTCTTGTACAACTAAACCGACGTTACCTAGACCGGTATATAGACAAGAAATAGCAAATCTAGCTAGTGAAGGTGCCAATAACAAGGATTGCCCTGAAAGTTCTCTAACATCGGGAGCAAATAAAGGGAGTGAGAACGTTGAACCCAAAAGTAACAATACTCCCGATGGGCAGTCATCTTCTTGTGCTGAAACCGAAGTGGAAGACATGAGAGGGTCGGATAAACCACATGACGAAACCAAAGAAGGGTTTGAAGAGAAGACAATGTCCGTGATGCGTGGCGGGGAGATGGTTCAGGTAAAAAGTTCTTCTGTCAAATGCTCGGAAACATGAATGCCTCTGTTAGTGTTAGATAATGTTGCCCCTCTTGGTAAATCTATTCAAAAGTTGAAACCTTTCTTGATGCGAACCGGTTTTCTCTCTTTCCTTCTTTTGGGGGTTTCAGGTAAGTTACAAAGTCTACATTCCTAAGAAGACTCCTGCCTTGGCAAGAAGAAAAATCAAGCGGTGATGCTACAAATCCATGGGAATGATCCATATACATACATGCATACATATATATATATATATATATATGTATACATCTGTGTGATGGTATGCTGACATATTTTTGTAAAGTCTAGACCACAGTGGTGGTCTGAACCATATGGATAATTCTGAGTTCAAAACAGCAGAAATTTATTTATCATTCAGCTCTCGGGGTCTTCGGACAGAACAGTTCAAGAATGTATCTGAAATTGACTCATGTCATTTGTTTTCATTTTGGTTGACGTTTTAATCCGCAGTCGCTGAATATCTTCTGGCTCGGCAAAAACGGGCTGTAGATGGATTGGGTTGAAAACGGGCTTGCCTCGGACCGAGCCAGACTGAACCCGGCCAAGCGAGCCCGTTTGCACCCCCAAGTACATGTGTATATTTACCTACTACATGTGTATATTTTTTATTCACTGTTTGAGAGAGAGAGAGATCAACTTTGGTAGCATATGTATGTTATATGGGGTGTTAATGATCTTTGATGATTACCGCACTCTCCCTTGATGGTCATATTTATTGCAGCTCCCTCCGGAACGGTCCGACCAATTCGAATCGGGCATTAAGGTCTGCCTAGAACTCATTGTCAAGATTCTTGGTCTTGAAAGGGTTAACTTTACCTTTTCTTTAACTGTTTGGCCCTTTCTTTTTCTTGACCAGACTAGTGCTGTTGTACAAGCCGGGCATGGCCGTTTACAATTGGGTTCTATCAAGATTGTTGTGATATAAAATTTTATATTGATGGTTTTCGATAACTTTATGAAAACTCACCAAAACTGGATACGGTATTACATAATTCACACAAACTTAATAAGATAGTATATATCGTATATGAAATATACCTGAATCCATATTGCAGCAGAATGACTTTGAAGAACAAGTCGGTAAATCAGTTTTTCTCTCCTTTCACCCTTACTTTGATAATTTTTCTGATGGATGAAAAATGTGAAACATATGTCCACTATTTATAGGGTAAGGAGAGAGGGATAACCATAAACACCCAAAAAATTCAACACTTTCATAAACCCATATCCATCAATGAAGTCAATGTCATATTGAATTCCAAAACTCAAAATTACATGAGCCATTAAGATTTTAGTATTTCCAACATTCTCCCACTTGGCCCATGTGATGATTTGATGATATACAATCTTTAAACGCGTAATTTTATATTGTATTCATATATCACCGATAACTTTTATTTGAACAACAATTGAATCTTGGTGGTCACACATCAATTTATTTGAATATGATTCCTTCCAAATATCACAATCGTTTGTCATCCAAAACATCTTTTATGGTCGGGAATAACTGTAAAACAATAATGCATATTATCTCCATCAACTTCATGTGTACACAAATAATTTAATGATAATATGACTTTCAATAACATAAACACGACTTTTATTGAATTCAAAATATCATATATATAATGAGCAATTATTTAAATTACAGTAATGACTTATCTATAATGCCCATACGATCAACATGAGCCTTAAAAGTCTTAGGCAGCAATCCCTTAGTTAATGGGTCCGCTATCATAAAATCAGTACTGATATGCTCAAATGATACTCTTTGTTTCTGAACTTCCTCTTTGACAGATAAGTATTTTATCTCCATATGTTTAGCACCTTTTGAGTACTTATCATTTTTCGAGAAGAAGATAGCTGCAGAATTATCACAGTAAATTCTCAGCGGCCTAGCTATAGTGTCGACAATCCTATGCCCTGAGATAAAGTTCCGATCCATAAACTGTGAACGGTAGCTTCAAAACATGCTACAAACTCAGCTTCTATGGTGGAAACAGCGATGACAGATTGCTTTCCACTCCTCCATGATACTGCTCCTCCGGCAAGTAGAAACAAATATCCAAAAGTCGATTTTCTGGTATCAACACATCCAACATAATCTGAATTTGAATAACCAATGACTTCCAGATAATTTGATCTTCTGTATGTGAGCATATATTTTGTAGTACCTTGCAGGTACCTTAGAACTTTCTTTGCAGTTTTCCAGTGATTTATTTCGGGATTACTCTGGTACCGACCTAACATTCCAACAGCAAAGCTGATATCTGGTCGAGTACACATTTGAGCGTACATTAAACTCTCAACCACTGATGCATAAGAAATATTTTCCATTTCCTTTCGTTCCAATTCATTTTTCGGACATTGTAAATTACTGAACTTGTCCCCTTTCTGGATTGGAACCTTTCCTGCAGAGCATTCATCCATTCTGAATCTTTCTAAGATTTTGTTGATGTAACCTTTCTGAGACAATCCTAACAATCCTTGTGATCTATTTCGGAATATTTCTATTCCTATCACATAGGATGTCTCACCCATATCTTTCATATCAAAATTCTTAGAAAGAAACCCTTTTACGTCATGTAAAATTCTCATGTCATTTGCAGCAAGTAAAATATCATCAACATATAAGATAAAATCGCATATTTACTCCCACTAACCTTCATGTAGATACATCGATCAACGATATTTTCTACAAAACCATAAGATGTAATAGTATTATTAAATTTAAGATACCATTGTCGGGAAGCTTGTTTTAGTCCATAAATTGATTTTCTCAACTTACACACTAAATTTTCTTTTCGCGTGGGTATAAATCCTTCAGGATGATCCATATATACTTCTTCCTCTAGATCACCATTCAAAAAGGCGGTTTTAACATCCATTTGATTAAGCTCTAAATCATAATGAGCAACTAAAGCCAATATAATTCTCAAAGAGTCTTTCTTAGAAACCGGAGAGAAAGTCTCTTTATAGTCTGTGCCTTCCTTTTGGGTATAACCTTTGACAACAAGTCGGGTTTTATACCTTTCGATATTACCACGTGAGTCAAGCTTGGTCTTAAAGACCCATTTACAGCCGACTTTCTTTGCACCTTCCGGTAAGTCTACTAAGTCCCAGACATTATTGTCGTTCATGGATTTCAATTCTTCTTTTATGGCATCAAATCATTTTCCAGAATTACAACTATTCATAGCTTGTTGAAATGTAGACGGATCATTATCAATGCTTAAGTCACATTCATGTTCTAGAGCATAAACCACATAATCATCTGAGATCGCAGATCTCCTTTCCCTTTCAGATCGTCTCAAGATGATCGGTGGTTCATTAATCTCCTTTGGTGCCGTGACTGGTTCATTAATAATGCTCTCATTATATGGGTTTTCGACATGCTCTTGTTGTACTGGAATATCACGAATCATTGATGTGAATTTCGGTACAAGAACAACAGAAGGGATATTCGGTGTGAAAACATTATCCCGGATCTCTTCTATGCCAACTTTTCGTGATTCATCACTCCCACTGATTTGACCATTTTCAATGAACCTTGCATTGCCAGTCTCCATAATTCTCGTACTATGGTTAGGACAATAAAATATAAATCCTTTAGACTTTTCTGGATAACCAATGAAAAATCCACTGATTGTCCTAGGATCAAACTTCTTTTCATGTGGATTGTATACTCTTATTTCTGTTTGACAACCTCAAACGTGCAGGTGCCTTAAACTCGGTTTCCTCCCTGTCCACATTTCATAAGGTGTTTTAGGGATTGCTTTGCTAGGAACTCGATTAACCAAATAAGTTGTCGTTTTTAATGCATACATCCACAATGAGAGAGATAAAGAGCTATTACTTATCATGCTCCTAACCATGTTCATTAATGTACAATTCCGCCTTTCTGCTACACCATTTTGTTGCGGTGTACGGGGAATTGTGTATTGTGCACAAATACCCTTACTTTCGAGGAATTTCGCAAATGGACCTGGACATTGTCCAGTCTCATTATATTTTTCATAATACTCTCCACCTCTATCGGATCTCACAACTTTAATCCTTTTTATCTAACTGCCTCTCAACTTCATTGATGAACACTTCAAGTATGTTCACAAATTGAAATTTATCATGCAGAAGATAAGTATAACCATAACGTGAGTAATCGTCGATAAAAGTGATAAAGTACCTTTCTCCACCCCACGTGGAAATATCAAAAAGTCCACAAATATCAGTGTGAATTAATTCTAGAAGCTGAGTACTTCTTGTGGCCGCTTTCTTTACTGTATGTTTTGTCTGCTTTCCTTTGATGCAGTCTAAACATACTCCTAAATCACTAAAATCCAAACATGGTAAAATTTCATTCTTCACCAATCTTATTAACCTTTCTTTGGATATGTGACCTAATTTTTAATGTCACAATAAAGCTGAACTTTCATTGTTAGGTGCACTACGTTTAACGCCCATAATATTTTCAACATTAAACAAGGATTCCGAAAATTCTCTGTCAAGATTAAAACGATAAAGACCATCCATTAAAATACCGGAACCGAAAATGTATTCTTGTTTATATAGTTGAAAAGTACTAGAACCAAACTTGACAGAAAAACCCATTAAATCTAATTTTCCAATAGAAACAAGATTTCGAGCACATTCAGGAACATAGAGACATCCTTCAAGAGCTAAGTGAAAGCCAGTGTCTAAGACCAATCTATAAGTCCCAATGCCTTCTATTCGTGCTTTCATCTTATTCCTCATGACCACATGCTTTTCAGGTCCTTTTATGGGTTGGATCATACTGAATCCCTGTTTAATATGAGAAACGTGAGTAGTAGCACCTGAATCTAACCATCAAGTATTATTGGGCACTTCAATAATATTCGATTCAAAACAAACTAAAATGTTATGTTTACCTTTGCTTTCGAACCATGCCTTTCTTTTCTGACAATCTTTCTTAATGTGTGTCCAGTCTTCTTACAGAAAAAACATTTGACTTCTTTCCGGACTTGGCTCACATTATCTTTTATTGGAGCTTTATCCTTCTTTTTGTCATTTTTCTCTGGTTTTCTTTTATTGCTGCTGACATTAGTTTGAACAGTAAGATGAACAGAATGTTCTTTCACCTTCTTTAATCTCCCTTCTTCCTGTATGAGCATGGCCTTCAATTCCTGAAAGTTCCATTTTTCTTTGATAGTGTTATAATTCACCTGGAACTGACCAAACTCAATAGGCACAGAGTTAATGATGAATTGGACCAGAAATGTCTCATTAACATCCATTCCCATAGTTTTCAACTTTGCCGCCATATTAGACATGTTAGTCACATGATCATGGATAGGCTGTGACCAGTCAAACTTTTTCGTAGTCAATTCGCTCATGAGACTTCCTACAATTGACTTGTCAGCCAGATCTGACTGAGAATACTCTTTAATCTTTTGCATAAATTCCTTTGCACTTTTAGTTTTAGGCATCGATGGCTTAACATTTTCTGCCATAGTGATCCTCATCAAGTTCAAACACAACCTATTCGATCGCTCCCAGGAATCGAAGTTAATCCTGTCATTTTCTGAGCTTCCATCTGTTATGGTTGTTGGCTTTTCATTCAACAATGCATGATCCATATCATTGAAACCCAAATAAAATTGGATCTGTTCAGACCAATCTGCATAGTTAAGCCCGTTGAACTTAATAATTCCATTGCCAGAAGCCATAAGGTTAAGTGAAGCTGAAATTTTATAAATATTCATCCATTAGTATTTCAAAATTAACAATAATATATATCAAAATTCACCTTTGGGCAATACTTCGATATATATATACAATCATTGATGCAAAATATACTTTAATGGACATCATAATACTACCAGTTAAATAAGCATGCAATCTTTGGACATACATACTTATTAACCAAAAAACAATTATGTCCCTCTAATATTATTAATCATATGCATTGATCCATCTTTGGATGATCTAATAGCAATACGATAAATAATTATAATTGTTCAGTTATTTATTTATTTATTTTATGTCATACATTTGCATCCTTTTATCATGAACAATTAAAACATACATATTTGATTTAAATATTTAATTTAAATATAAACTAGGTCACTTTGGTAACTAACAAGTTTAAATAATAAACAAATCAAAATATTTTTAACTTCCATATAATATGTATCCACATAGCTAATTTCATAAAGCATATAAAATATTATCCACGTAAATTATTATATGGTATATTAATACGTAATATACATACCTATACGAAGATACAAAATAATATGTATTATAACAACATAGAAGTTATCAATATTAATACATTATAATAAAATTAATTTATTCAAAATTGCTATTAATAAGGATATAACTTTTATAAAATACACGTAATTTTATGTGCATTTTGATATGTTCAAAACATATATTATTATTATATAACAATTATATATATATATATACTAATTCAGATATATATATATACACTTTAATTTTTATTACTATAAACTTTGATGATATATTTTAATGAAAAATATATCTATATATAAGCACATTAACCTTTAATTGTGCATATGAATAAACACGTTTTAGAATCGACGTAATGAGATATATATAAAAAATGTGTTTCATAATTTTCGAAATATACTACAATTTCGAAACTTTAATCGATGAGTTATGATAACACCAAAACACATGCTCTGATACCAAATGTAAAACTTTATATTGATGGTTTTCGATAACTTTATGAAAACTCACCAAAACTGGATACGGTATTACATAATTCACACAAACTTAATAAGATAGTATATATCGTATATGAAATATACCTGAATCCATATTGCAGCGGAATGACTTTGAAGAACAAGTCGGTAAATCAGTTTTTCTCTCCTTTCACCTTTACTTTGATGATAATTTTTCTGATAGATGAAAAATGTGAAACATATGTCCACTATTTATAGGGTAAGGAGAGAGGGATAACCATAAACACCCATAAAATTCAACACAATATCATATTGAATTCCAAAACTCAAAATTACATGAACCATTAAGATTTTAGTATTTCCAACATGTGAGTCTTCTTCACTAAGCCTTCGACCGTCTTTTCATGTTTCAATTTTTGAAACCCGGGCACAGTTTTTTTTTGTTTGCATCGTTGTCAATATACGAGGTGGTTTGATTCCCCAGATACCGGAAGATCTCCATGTCGTGCTGATGGCGAGGCAAACGTTCGAGTCCCTCAGTTACCAGTCCGGTCCCCCCCCCCCAGCTCTTCTCTTCTAACTCGACTTCATCTGTCCCGATCGAACCGTTTACTGTACCGAGCCAGCAGCCTCGGCCCCAGCTCCCATCCACCAGACTTGGCGGGTTCTTGGAAGAGGGAAATGGTCCAATCCTTCCAACATTACATTGCTCAATGGACGCGATCAACGTGGTGGGAGAGGACGAAAACGACATCAAATTGCCCGACGGTCTCTCTTTGTTCGACGCTCTAAGGGGTCAATCGGGACGAGGCGAGTCGACTCTTGTTTAACCCGGAGACGATGAATCTTGAAGGGAGAGATGGTGTCCCAAACCAGCGGTCGAGCCCTAACGAGTTCTTGAGCACTGACAGTTATCATCCCAAGACGAAGAAACAGTTCAGAAGAAGCTACACAGTGGCTCCGAGAATGGACACGTCATGGTGTTAGCATACGTTCTTTGTGGCCAGTTCTTGTTCATGTTGTCGTTTATACTTGTTTGTTCTGATCATTCGGTGCCTTCTTTCCACTCTCACTCGAGTTAGAAAAAAAAAAAGTATTACAGTGTTGAACATTTACAGCAACAGCAAGAACAAAGATCTGTTAATGTCTCAGCCTGAAGATCGGTTCTCTCCTCTAATGGTTCCTGACACGCCCACCGCAACATCCTCTTCCGCCCCTTCCTCGCCGCCGCCGGCCGTCGCCGCCGCCGTGTCCCCGCTCTCTTTCGTTGTATTCGACGCATAGCTTACCGATACATTTGGCGCCTTACCATCCGTCGTTGTCCCCATCGCCGCTTCTCTCGCCTCGCTCATGCTCTCTTCTTCTTCTGATGACGATGATGACGATGACGACGACTCTCGCATCTCGTCATCTCTTCCCTGCAGGATTCGCAGAAAATATTCAACATTCAACAGAGATATATTCGGATCTTTGGACCGACTAAATTCATATGAGATTTCATGTGAATATACCCAATATAATTAAGAATGATGAGAAAACCGTACGCTGGTGAAGTAACGAGAGGTGGTGGCTCTACCGACAAAACGGACACCATTGTTGTACTCTCTGGGTGAAGCTCTGTATATGTTAATCACGCCTCTCTTCGCCAAGAACATCGCTGCCGCCATTGTTGAGCAAAGAGGTTTACTATTCTACACACATGGAAACATCTGAATATATCGACTCCACCCGCCACGAAGTCCCGCCACTGTGTTAGTGTCCCGTAGAAGGAAGGGTGGCGCTTCTGGTGCGTGACACGTGTCATGGGATGCAAACTACATGGCCAGATGTCTTCCAAAGAATATTCGATCATTACACTGCCTTAAATAACTTCGTCTAGATCAAAATTTCTATTTACAAAAAGAAATCTCAAAAAATTATTATCATATTCATTTTAATTTTTTTTATTTTCCTTAAAAATATAAAATTCAAAAAAATCGATTAGAAATAAACAACGTGATACCCTTTATAGTGCATGATCATGAATTAATATTAGTATAATATAATAATTATCCTAAAATCCGCGATTCTTTAAGATTTTTCTCTTAAAAAAAGTATTTTTAGAATTTAATATAACTGATACATAGTTATATTTTTCTTATTTGGTTCTTTGTAAAACCTCATAAGAAAAATAAATTTTCAAACGGACCGTCGAATTGTGAGCCTGTTTCTTATTGTATATAAAGCCCGTAAATGCATATATGCACCAATAAACTGGACCTCATTACCATTATTATCTTAAACATGCTGTGGGTCCCACGCAATCCAAACTTGTGTCGTCACGGACCAAACGACAACACCATATTCAATGCATTGAGAATGAGAGTTTGGTATTTACATTTTATATTAATTGCATTTTTTTGGTTAAGAACATTTTATCTTAATTTAATATCACAGAATTTTATGGTAGGTTGGTGAATAATAATACTACAATTCCATTGGGTGGGCCCGAGAAAGCCGAACACCATGATCACGAGAAGAAAAGGACAAAGAAGTTAGAAAAATGTCCAAGGAAAAGCAGTGTAACCCTTTTTTGCTTTCTTCCACCTTTACACAAAAGCTTAGATTATCGTGACGTCAAGCTGTATCATATGTGTGTGTAAGAGTGATAGTGAGAAGAAGATCTTGAAGAAGAAGAAGAGGAAGAATGAAGTTTTTATTTCAGTGTCCATGTTGTTCATGCTTCTATTTCATGAAGCCGAAAAAGGGCAAACCAAAAGCACCAAAAGCTGCCGAAGCAAAGCCAGAGAAGAAGGAGCCCAAGCCCGAGAAGGCTGAGTGATTGTTTTATTCACATTCTTGTAAGAAATAAGCTGTAATTTCCATGGTTAATCTCGGTGTTTATATACAGAATGTATTCTCTTTCGTGTTATACATCATCCTACATAAAAACTTGTCGGAAAATTTCCCTTAATCAAAGGTTAATATTCAAAGCTTCATACTTGGAGCTTCCAAGTGAGAGAATTCAAGCTGGGTAGGTGAATGTGGGCATCATCGAATAACCCATATATATATAGATATATATATATTTAATACGTCGACAAAGACATCAATCTGCAATGATATAGAAAAGTTACGTTTGACACGAAGAAATCGCATGAGTGGTTTTTGGTACGTCTCTGCTAATTACAGCTAAGGAATCAGAAGAAATAAAACCGCAAAATCGACAAGCTTAAATTTGAAGTCCTTGCAGCGAACAGAACCCATCTCAAGGTAAGATCACGAGAACACAGAGGGGGGGTTTTACCACGAAGAAGAGGAGATTCCATGTCGGGTATTTCGACAAGATCTCCATTGTTGGAAACTGAAGTTCGAGATGTTACGACTAGGAGGAGATGGGTTCGAGAGCTTGTCGATGTCGGAGAAGCGAAGAGACAGATCGTGTTCTCTCTGCCGATGATGCTCATCAATGTCTCGTACTATTGCTTCCCTCTGGTCTCTGTCATGTTCGCCGGACACCTCGGCCAGCTCGAGCTCGCCGGAGCAACTCTCGCTAATTCTTGGGCCACCGTCACCGGTTTCGCTTTCATGGTACGACAGATACTTCGTTCTTCGACCTTGTCTCTGTTCTTTCGTTTCAGTTGATTTGTAGTTTCGAGACATTAAGGTTTAGTAGGTAGCGATGAATTTGAACCCACATGGATAAACCAATCTATATTGTCCGAGCGAATTGAGGAATCGGGTCTATTCATAAAAAAGTTTCGAACTTTATATGAACTGATGATTCCCAGTATCGAAAATTACCGATCTTTGATCGTCCAAAGAAGAAAGATGTTAACTTTGAGAAAAAAATATCAGATGGGCATTTCAATAATTGATGTTCTTGACTGTGTTTTTAAAATATAGACCGGGTTAAGTGGTGGACTCGAGACGCTTTGTGGACAAGGTTATGGTGCTAAGACTTACAGAATGTTGGGTATTCATCTGCAATCATCTTGCATCGTATCCTTCTTATTCTCCATCATCATCTCTGTCTTCTGGATCTTCACGGAATCAGTTCTGAAATTTCTTCGACAAGATCCTCTTATCTCACGACAAGCTGCCCTCTACATGAAGTACCAAGTTCCGGGTTTGCTTGCTTATGGGTTCTTACAGAACATACTGAGGTTTTTTCAGACACAGTCTGTTGTGAAGCCATTGATCTTCTTCTCGTTGGTTCCTTTACTGATTCATATTGGAATTGTGTATGTCCTGGTTCACATGGCTGCTCTTGGATTCGAAGGAGCTTCCTTGGCCTCGTCGATTTCGTTCTGGATATCGTTCCTTTTGCTCGGAATCTATCTGATCTGTTCAGACAAGTTTAAGGATACATGGAATGGATTTTCCTTAGAGTCGTTCAATTATGTACTTGTAAACCTGAAACTGAGCATCTCTTCTGCGGCTATGATATGGTAAGTGCTCTGTAAACTTTATCGGCTTTTACCATATATGAAACAGAATTTTCGGAACAATGTTAGTATTTCAACAAATGCTTTATCGTATTTTCTCCAGTTTGGAATATTGGGCATTCGAGATTCTCGTGTTCTTGGCAGGACTGATGCCGAATCCTGAGATCACCACATCTTTGGTTGCGATGTGGTAAGCTCCTTCAAACCTATTTTCATCTTCCGCAATTCTGTTCTGTCCTGTCAGCAAAGTAGCTCACGGAGAATGCGTGTATATATCAGCGTGAATACAGAAGCGATTGCCTACATGTTCACATATGGCCTTAGTGCAGCTGCAAGGTCAGTTCCTAAAAACAGAACACTGCATCATCTCTTGTCTGTTAGAACATATCCACTTATTCCTTTTCTTGTCTCTGAAATGTGGAGATTCATCGTTGAGATGTAATTGTTGCAGCACACGGGTTTCTAATGAGTTGGGAGCAGGAAATTCAGAGGGAGCAAAGAAGGCCATGTTTGTGACGATTAAGCTCTCTGTTCTTCTTGCTCTTTGTGTGGTGCTTGCTGTCTTTTTCGGGCATAATGCTTGGTCTGGATTATTCAGCAACAACCCGAAAATCGCCAAGGAGTTTGCTACTATGGCACCGTTTCTCGCGGCTTCCATAACTCTGGATTCCATCCAAGGTGTCCTGTCAGGTAAGAATTCAAGAAATATCTACAAACTTAGAGGTCTCTGCATTCTTACAAAATCGGATTATCCGCAATGTAAGAAAAAATCTAACACATCGAAAGAATCATATTGCATCTGTCTCAGTAATCTGATAAATTGTGTCTGAAAGAATCGTATTGCATCTGTCTCAATGATCTGATAAGATGTGTCTGAGTGTTCTGAATCTGCAGGAGTGGCTAGAGGTTGCGGATGGCAGCATTTAGGCATGTTTGCAAATTTGGGTACGTTTTACTTCATTGGAACTCCACTGGCAGTTCTCTTCAGTTTCGGATTGAAACTGTATGCTAAGGTAAATACTTCCCTACGAACTCTTAACATTCCGAAAAGCCTGTCACATCCATGTATGAACAGCTGGAAAGATGAACTCAAATTTCACTAAACAGTTCGAAAATTGATGCAATCTTGGTTCTGAGATGTTAATTTGTTTGGTGAAAAACAGGGCTTGTGGATGGGATTGGTATGCGGGATGGTCTGTCAATCTGCATCTCTCTTGCTCATTGCATTATGCAGAAAGTGGACTAAATTGGAATCATATGTGCCAAGAAATAAGGAACCTTCTTCAGATTCTGCTTAGTTATGTATTGTTAGTACCAATGAAGCATGAAATATAAAAAAGAAAGAAAGAAGAGAAAGAGGATCAGACTGTGGATGATCTACATCATGAAGCATCGATCTCTCTTTACTATTTGATTCTTTAGATTGTTTGAGATTGATTCTAGTAAGAAGAACCACCATCTCCCCATCTCCTTTGCCTGTTTCTCTGTCTCAGGCAAAAAAAATGGAAAACAAAGATCTTGTTTTCAGAACCAGAAGATTGATTGAATTGGTCAAACCAAGAGTGTGTTTATGATAAACACCAAATGATAGTTGGTGCTTCTTTTAGGGGTTGGGGGTCTTCTGCATTGGCTAGGTGGGTATGGTTTTTAGTACATAGACTTTGATATCATCAGTTTAACACAGAAATGATATCTATGATTGTTATCAGGATTTGTAAGTCCATGGCCTGATCAATAATGATCCCTACAGGCTGTGACCCATATGCCAGAATCAATGCAAGCATATCAACCATCTTCTTGTCACGATCCAGTAAACACCAGAGAGAATTCCTGGATTTGCTATATTGTCTAAACCATAGATGCGTTGGTTCAGGGTTTTAATGAGAATATAGTAAATCAGTTCGTCATCGAACAAATCCAACTGTTATGGCAAGACAAGGTTTTCTTTTGCAGTCACGAGGCTAGGACTCAAGCATTCTTGAAAGTCTGATTCTTTTTTTTTTTGTTATCACCAATGAATCTTGCATGTAAGGTCGTACTTTTTCGTCCAATATCTCCTCCAACTACAAAACATAAACATAAGGAATGGAACCTATTTTGAATTTGAAAGAGGGCACATTGAGATCCGTCCGAAAGTGCCAAGGTGAAAAGGTTGCTGCATTTTTGGTGCAACATGGAGGAATAATCACTATAAAAAATCTCGGTGTGTTGTATCTTTTCATTTCCTTTCTACTCTTTCATTGGCAGAATATTGTTTAAAACCTCAAACATGGTCGGAGTAGGAGGGCAAATCTTCACAAAAAAATTGTATATTTGTTTTCTTGAATGACATAAGAGATGTGAGATTAACCTTCTCTTGATGCCATTTAGTTTTCCACTGTGCATCCAAAATCGTGTCAGCGATTTCTCTTTGAGCGTTGAGAAGAACAGTCTTCTCGTACAGTTTTGCAGGGTCTTTGAGTTCCTCTTCAGTCTAAGAAGAAGAATCCAATGGAAGGTTCAACTCCTGTTAAATATTCTACAGTTAACGTTGCACTAAGCTTGTGTCTGAACGAAGCTTTAGATACGGAAAGGAATAAATACATACACCCCAGTTCTGTGGACGGGTTGGCACATCGAGGTTCATGACTTCAGCTTCCCATGCTTTCTTTGCTTTGTAATAGGGAACATTTTTCACTATTACAAGGTCTTCCCGCGCACGGACATGGAGATCAATGCCGGTAATGGATAAACTTGTAGAAATTTGCGAAATGATATTTTTATTGATAATCAAAATAACATATAAATAGGTGAGACTCTTACATTGAATAAGTAAAATAGACATAATAATAAATATTTCTAAATATATATTTTCCAAATTTGATAAGATCTCCATTATACGATATATCTTGTAATATTTTTCAAGATCCGGTATATCTCAACAAAACTAAATGATGATTCTTATCCCCATGGGGGCATGAGTATGCAACCTTAGTTGAATGTCAAAACTTGGACTGTAAAAACTAAACAAACTTCCATTAGTATAAAGAGGCAAACTTACTTCCTGCAAGCATTCCCAGCCAGGATTTCGCCTAGCCACCAAATCCTGAAGTTGATCATATCGCATAGATTCCTAATCACAAAAGATAGTAAAAATAAATGTCACCGAAGCCTTATGCTGAAATGAGCAGTTTTCTGTGGTGCATAACAAAATCATATACCATGAAGGTCCTGCATATCAGTATCCTCAGAGTTGGAATGATCTTTACTATAGTCTAACAAAACTCCATAGCAATTTGAGATTCATTATTTTGGATTCCAAAGTGTATAACCTGCAACCTTCTCAAATTTGACGACAAGCTGCCCATGCTGGAAATTCTCTGAACCTGGAATTAAGACGGAAGCTTAATCAAATTGGATTCATTGGTCTTCATATGACCTTATCGGAATGGCGGAGCTTCTTCAAGCAACAATAGGCCGGTTATGCTTGACATGAAAGTTACCGCCTTAATCAAATTGGATTTAGGAACTTCAACTTATAGTTGACAAGAAGGTTGCAGTCAGATTCAGACAACTAAAAATCCATTTAATCCATACATTAAATCTTAACTCTCGAGAAAACTATCAAGTAAAAAATTACAGGATACGGAGAATCAAAAGGATCTGGGTGAATAAGATATGACTAAGAAAACTGTGTGGGAAAAGGAAAGACTCAATTACCTCATATTGCCACCATATTTTCCGCTTGACATCTTCATCATATGGGATCTTTCATGTTGTGGATGATGTGCTGAAATAGAAAAACACAACCAGAGAAATTACAAGACATGGTAAACATATCATGCATTAAGTGCACAAATGGACTTAAGGCTGAGCTCATATGGATAATCCATCTTCTTCATCACATTGTAGGCTTTCCATAGAAGTTCCATGATCTGCAGCAGTAATATATATGTAATGCACATATAAGATATTAAACATTTCATAAGGAGAGTTCTATGCCAAAAATATTCTTTGGTGATCACAATTTCTAGAAACTATACCTAATCAATACCATCCCTTTTCTAGATGTCGATATTTACTATAATTATTCCTCCAATTTCAATATAGATCTATGTGGTGTATGCTGACATGACCCAAAAAACTGATACACAGTAATGACAGACAAACGACATATATCATCGGTTGAGATTTTGACTTGCAGTTTGTTCTTGCACTCAGGACAACTCATCACACCCTACATCATGAAAAGATGTTCCACAATAAATTAGCGTACAATGCGATAAAGATGGACTACCTTTCCTATCCTCAAAGTGCAGGCAAATACTTTTTCTAAAACAACATCCAAACTACCATATGCCAACGTGAATACAAATTTGGAAGTAGCAGCGACATCCAAACCAAGTTAATGTGAACAATCAGCTATGCAATCAAATAAATATTAGCCTCTGGAATAAATGCGATGTGGGAAAGCATCTCATTGTTCCATCACAGGTCGGACATTCTTTTGAAAGCAATGGTATGCTAAGGTTAATGGATGATGGAAGATGCACCAACTCAGCTCTATTCCCAACAATGGCATCTGCAACTATTTGCTGTCGCCTTCTCTCCACTACAAGAAAAGACACAGAAGATTATTTGATATAATAGAATAGAATATGACCGAGATGTCTCGAAAAGATAACCCAACAGAGGATGGTGGAGAGGTATGATCTTCTATTACACTAATACCATTATTTCACCAAAGCAATGATCACCTTCTGTCTTTCTTTAATGGCTTAAAACATTTACAATAATTACTAGGAAACTACAGGTGGAAGACTTACATAGGAACAAGAAGTGTAGTGCCTAAAACTCAGGATAATGGCAGGCCACTAAATTTACACGAAAGCAAAGAACTTTAAGCACCAATAAGATGGATTAAAATGAGACTAAACTACCTTCTCAAGTTGTAATCCTTTATTTGATAATGAACCTTCCCCGTTCCTTTGCACATGGTGCACCTTAACGCTTGCCATCCATTGCAAGTCTTGCAATCCCTGGCAAAGGAAACCATTTTTTATCACTAGATGGCCACACACAATGTGTACACTTAAGGAACTTATTGAAAACAAAAGGGGTAATCGCATCGAAATACCTGAACTTTTATAAAAATTCCATATAAATACCTGAACTATAAAATTATCATATAAATACCTGAACTTTTCATAACTCCCACATAAATACCCAAACTTTTAAATTTTTTCCAAATCAACCACTTTACCGTTAACGTCGTTAGACGTTACTGTTCACTCATAAAAAAATTGATGACTCGGCAATGACTCAGCAAAAAACCTGTTGACTCAGCAAAATATTGCTGACTCAGCAAAAAAATATTATTAAATATCTAAATTTTTATCTACATATATTTAAATTAATATATATATACATTAAAAATAAAATTATTTATAATTAATAAAATATATATACACATAACTACAATATATATATATATATATATATCATTACTAATGCATATATGTTAAAATAAAAATAATTATAATTAAATTTATGTACATACATAATATATGTATTAAAACAATAATTATAACTAACATATTTACATATAATATATATGTTAAAGATAATATTTATATGTATACATATTAGTTATATATACAAAATATACATATACAACTAATATATATAATTATAGTTAGTTATATATACAAAATATACATATACAACTAATTAGGGGTTTGTATATAATTATAATTAGGGGTTTGTATATATAACTATTTATAATTATATATATTAGTTGTATATGTATATTTTGTATATATAACTAATATATATACATATAAATATTATCTTTAACATATATATATTATATGTATATATGTTAGTTATAATTATTTATTGTTTTAATACATATATTATGTATGTACATAAATTTAATTATAATTATTTTTATTTTAACATATATGCATTAGTAATGATATATATATATATATATATATATTGTAGTTATGTGTATATATATTTTATTAATTATAAATAAAAATTTTTAATATATATTTATATACATATGTGTGAATTTATATGTATATATTAATTTTAATATATGTAGATAAAAAATTTGAATATTTAATAATATTTTTTTGATGAGTCAGCACTTTTTGCTGAGTCAGCGGGTTTTTTTTGCTGAGTCATTGCTGACTCAACAGTTTTTTGTCGAGTGAACAGTGACGTTTAACGCCGTTAACGGGTGAGTGGTTGATTTGGAAAAAAATTTAAAAGTCTGGGTATTTATGTGGGAGTTATGAAAAGTTCATGTATTTATATGATAATTTTATAGTTCGGGTATTTATGTGGGATTTTTGTAAAAATTCGGGTATTTAAATGCGATTATCCCAAAACAAAATGTATGGAATAATAAAAAAGGCCAGCCTTTGACAAATCACTTTCTTTCCCAATTCCAATGCAATATCATAAGTTCCAAGAGTGGCAACAGCCTCCAATGTGTAATCAATGGAGTCAAGTGACAACATTTCTCCATCCATATACAAAATCAAACAAGACAGTAGAAAGAGAAAAAAAAAATCATAATTTCGGAAAGAAACGGGCATTCACCAGAATCCAGAATGAGACCATCTATACAGTTCCTCAATACAACAAAATCGAAGTTATCCAAGAGCTACAAATCGATTATAAATTGAAATGACATCAAATTCGAGAGGAAAAACTCACAAAGACGGAGAGATAAGATAGTTTAGAGATGAACTCGGGGATGCCGAAAACGCGAGGAGCAAAACCAGCGATGTCGAAGGCGAGAGCGAAAGGAGACAGGACAAGTTTGATGGGGAAGTCGAGAATGTCTATGACTTGTTGCCCGTAATGGGCCAAGAATTGTTTGTACTAAGCATCGGCGAACTGATTCAGGTTCTTCAACAGACGATCTGTTCTTCTCGACATGGAAGGAGAAAGAAGGAGATAAGAGCTTCTGGTTTGGTTCGATGATGTTTTGTCTCAGGGTTCAATGATGGTTTTACACTTCTTATCTCGTTATCTCGAGTACGAATAAAGTTATTCTTGCAAAGAGTAGCTTACTTCTATATTGCAGTTATATATCTCATAACTATATATATATATATATATATATAAATTAGCATTTCAAAACAGACATGATCGAACATCTTCTTATATAAACTGAAATATTTATTTAATCAATTTTCTAATATTATATTTTTTTTGTCGTAGTGTGTATATATATAAATGTATGTGTATATATATATATATATAATGAATAAGATAATTATCAATATAGAAAATAATGTAGAAAAGGAAGAAGAGAATGTTTTTGTTTTATTTTTCTTCTTTGGTTTGTGATGTTTAGAACCCTACATGTATACCTATTTAGACATGTAATAAATGCACACACATCACACATTGTCACTAATTTTTCTTTTAATGCAAACCACACACACAAAATAAACAACACAAAATGCACTCAACTAACCCACTAATGCTTTTTTTATTTTTTTAATCATAATTAATAGATCAATCTTATCACTTCCCTTGATCTATTTATTTATTTAATCCAAGTTTTTTCTTTAATTCATCGAACCTTGAAGGTGGTAGCGCCTTTATGAAAATATCAGCCAATTGATCTTCACTTTTGCAGTAGGTGAGCTTGATGATTCCTTCATTCTCACCTTCTCTGATGATGTGATATTTGATTACTGTGTTTTGTCCTTTTGTGTCGAACTGGATTTTTTCTAAGGCGATAGTTGAGCTACTGTTACAAAATATCAATGTACTATCTTCTTGCTTGCATCCCAAATTCTAGAGTAGATTATGTAGTCATATTGTCTGATTGATTGCTACAGTTGTCCTATTTGTGAGACTGCCAAGAAAATACTGCATTTTCTAGCTTGAACACATAGCCGTTTGTGCTCTTTATGTCTTCTTGACTTCCGACCCAGTAACTGTCACAATATCCCTGCAACAATATCGAATTTTCTGGTTTGAAATATAAATCGAGATCAATAGTCCTTTTGATATACCTCAAAACTCTTTTAACATGTTGGTAATATGTCATCAGAGGTTTACTCATGAATCTTGAGAGATAACTTGCAACAAACATGAGATCGGGTCTTGTGGTCGTCAGATATAGTATAAACAAGCCACTATGCTTCTGTACTCTATAGCATGTGCTTGTTTATTCTCTTCTACTTTCTTCCGTCGAGGCTTTAATGTGGTGTTGACACACTTACAATCCATCATCTTGAATTTTTCCAATACTTTTTTGCATATTTGGCTTGAGACAAAAAAACTCTATCAGGACTTTGATGTATCTCCATACCCAGAAAATACTCCAACTTACCAAGATCTGTCATCTCGAAGTAATTCATTATTACCTTTTTGAATTGCCTTATCATTTCTTCATTGTTCTCTGTTATAATCATCTCATCCACATAGAGTGAAATGATCAATATATCTTCCCCAAACCTTTGGATATATACAACCGCCTCGTACAGACATCTCTGGAAGCCTTGACTTAGAAAATAACCATCAATTTTGATGTATCATGCTCTCGGGGCTTGCTCCAACCCATATAAAGCTTTTTTCAGCTTCAATACGTGTCACTCTTTTCCTTTTATTTCAAATCCTTGAGGTTTCTCCACGAATATTTCTTCTTCAAGATCTCTATTCAGAAATGCAGACTTTACATCTATGTGATGCAGTTTTCACTTTTTTGTGCTGCAGTTGCAACTATCAACTTGATTGTATCATATCTTGATACAGAAGCAAAAGTCTCTATGTAATTTTTACCATACTTCTGACTGAAACCTCTTGCAACCAATTGTGCTTTGTACTTCTGTAAGGATCCATCTACTGCAGTCTTGAACTTGTAGATCCACTTGACCGTGATAGCCTTTTTGTCTTCGGGTCTCTCCAGCAATTCCCAGGTATCATTTTTCTTCATCATGTTGATCTCCTCTTCCATTGCCTTTCTCCATTCAGAATATTCTACAGCATCCTCAAAGGTTGTTAGCTCAACCGAACAGAGAAAACATGCCTCCATGACATTTGCTGAGTAGTCTAATATTCGAGAAGTTATGGTAAGTAAATGACTCACAGATCTTGTCTTAGGATTTTGTGGTGGTGTTGAACTTCCATCCTTTGTGTGCTCTTCAGTGTTTCTGGATTATGAACCACTTGATTCTCTAATTTCAGTAGATATCATAGGTTTAATTGTTGTAGTCTCGAGAAAAACGTCTAGTGTAGTCATTTGGGTGGTTTTACCACATTCCTGGTTCTTGTTTCAATCCCAACATTTACCTTCATCAAAGGTAGCATCTCGTGTGACGATGACTTTCTGCTTCTCCACCAAATAAATATTGTAACCTTTGCTTTGGCTATTATAGCTAATAAGTATTCCTTTCTCAGCCTTGTCTTCAAGCTTGGTTTTTTTCTCATCCAATGAAGGTTTTGTTGGGTTTTGGAGATCCCTAAACATGTGTTCATAACGGTTTCTAGGGTTCTAATTTCGGGTTTCATGCAGTGGAATAATATGAAAGAAACTCAATAAGCATATCTTGCATATATTGATAAAGGTATCGATATACCAACCTGTTTCGATCCAGAGACTTGTCATAAACGGTGAAATTATCTACAGCTAGTCCACACTCATGGACTTCTGTCTGCTAGAACATGATCAAGAGGTCGGGAACAGAAACCGAGGTGCTCCTCGGGAGAAAGAACGACGACGCCCAAGATGCGGGAGAGAGAGACTTCGAAATTCTATTCTTAATTTTGGATCTCAGATTGTACAACTACTTTCTTTGAAGTTGAGTTCATACCCATTTTGCACCATTTGTGAGACGCTGAGTAAGTTCTTGTCCAATTTCAGAACATAGAACACATCCTTAATTACCTTTGTTCCTTTCTTTGTCTTCATCAAAATATCGTCTTTTCATTCCGTTAGTATGACCGCTCCATTATCCACTCGTATAGGAACTTTGACATATCCTTGTTGATACTTTTAAAGTACCGAGCATCATTGGACATATGATTGGTACATTCACTATCAATCAACCATGTGTCTTCACCTTAGTTATCATGCCTTCATCTCGAGCTGTGAACAATTGCTCTTGTACCTCGTCTTTTTGTGTGACTCGTGCTTGTTGTCCAGGATTGCTTCTACCGTCTCGAGCCAAATGTCCTGGCTTTTCACAATTATAGCAGTCTTTGGATCTTCTCCATTGTTGGATTTACTTTCCTTTTTTGTTCTTGTAATAACGATCCACCTCATTATGGTTATCCTTTTTGCAGTGCTCACACCATTTCTTTTTCTTTGGATAGGATTTTCTATGAAATCCTTTACTTTCTCCCTTTTTGCCTCCTTTAAAGCTTTTTGATCGAGGTTGAAAAGCTCCTTCTAAATTTTTTTCTTCTTTTGGTAGATCCCACCAGATCTGTTATGCTGATGTTTCTCAAATCCTTGGTCTTCTCCATTAATGATGTCAAAGGTGCGTAAAACTTTGGCATCATTCTTAATATTTTTCGTATGACTTCATAACTCGACTTTATTTCTCCATGTTGTTTCATCTAATTTGCAATGTCAATCACCTTGTCTGTATATGCTTGGATACGCTCTCCCTCTTTCATCTTGATATCCTCAAATTGTGTGTGTAACGACTATAGCCTCACGATCACGGCTCGTTCATTGTCTTGATATGCTTCTTTTAGTTTCACCCACACATCCTTTGATATTGTTGCACTCATCACCTTTCGGAAAACCGTATTCGTAACAGAATTCTGTAATAGTTGGAGGGTTGTTAAGTCTTCGGTCTTCTTTTCCATCCATTGTGCGATTTGTGATGCTTGTGAAGCCAGTGGTATTTTTGACGTCTTTGTGGATTGTGGTGGAATCCCATTTTCGACAACATCCCATAATTCTTTCAACATCAATGTTGTTTTCATTCGGATAGCCCAAAGCTCATAACTTTGTCTGTCGAAAATTGAAACGGGTTGAATATTTTGTTGGTTTGTCGCCATGGTGCTTCTTGCCTAATTGTGCCGCTTGTGTTTATAGTTGATATTAGTGTTTCTCTTTGTGCTTATTGCTTGTCCGTCTTCTCGTGCTTAATTTTGTTGTAACGTTCACTACAAAAAAACCTGCATATAGCGACGGAATTTGCGACGGAAATTTCCGTCGCACAGAAAATTGCGACGGAATGTGACGATTTTACGACAGAATGTGGGAAAAAATTATCCATCGCAAACAGTCGCAAAATCCGTCGCAATTTGCTACGGTTTGCGACGGATAATTCTGTCACAACAAAGAAATAGATGATTTGCGACGGAAAATAAAAATTGCGACGGATTGCGACGGAATATTCCGTCGCAATGTATTTGGTTTCGTTTTTCGACGAAATTTTTTGAATTTTGGGCGCGTAAATTAATTTCATTTTGTGACGGATTGCGATGGAAAATTCCGTCGCAAAACGCAATATAAAACCACGAGTCGTCTTCTTCATCAGACTT